CCCTCCCTCCCTCTCTCTCTTTCTCTCTCCCCCGACTCCCCCATCCCCCACCCCCCGCACTATGTCTCTTTCCTTGTGTCTGTGAAACTATCAGTTTGCTCACTTCATTCTGTATCTCTTTCCCTGTATCTCTCTGTCCTTCCCTGCCTCCCTTGTTCCACCCCCTTCTCCGCCGAGACCCCAGGACCTCACCTGTCACCAGCAGCTCCAGGGCATCGCTGGGCTGGGACCAGACACTCGGCGCCCAGTCTGGCTTCCCGTAGCAGCAGTGGTAACTTCCCCCTTGGGCCGGAGTCACCTCCTCCAGGAAGAACTCCGCCAGCTCCGAGGACACCTCCCGGAGGAGAAGGGGATCGGTCTCTCCAGACTTGAAAAGTGCAAATCTCCAGGCGGGTTGGGGTGCCCGGCACCTCAAGGTCACGTTGACCCTGGGGGTCACAACCGTAGCTGGCCGAGCTCCCAGCCATGGCTTGGGGTATGAAACTGGGGGGACTGAATAAACGGGGCTGCCTGAGTCCTTGGACCTCCTGGGAGCCCCAGAAGATGAAAGGGAAGTTGGGGAAAGAGGAAAATCACCCTGGACGGTTATTGCCCCTTTCTCAGCCTCAGTTCCCTGTTGGTGAAATCAGGGAGAGACTGGACTATAGTCAAGGCTTATTAAGAGCAGGTGGATCACGAGGTCAAGAGATCGAGACCATCCTGGCCAACATGGTGAAACCCCGTTTCTACTAAAAAAAAATACAAAAATTAGCTGGGCGTGGTGGCATGCATCTGTAGTCCCAGCTACTTGGGAGGCTGACGCAGGAGAATCGCTTCAACCTGGAAGGTGGAGGTTGCAGTGAGCTGAGATCGCGCCACTGCACTCCAGCCTGGAAACAGAACAAGACTCTGTCTCAAAAAAAAAAAAAAAAACAACCAGGTGCACATCACTGGGGCAGGACAGAAACTTCACAGCTTCACTCCACAGTTTGTAAACATAGTTTCAAAGCGTCAGGTCCCAGAAGTCTGTAATTTATTATTATTATTTAAAGTAATGGGATGGGGGGTCTACCTATATTGGCCAGGTTGGTCTTGAACTACTGGCCTCAAGCAATCCTCCCACCATGGCCTCTCAAAGTGCTAAGATTACAACCTGGTGCCACCCCACCCGGACATTTTTTTTTTTAATTTATTATTTTTTGAGACAGGGTCTTGCCCTGTTGCTCAGGCAGGAGTGCAGTGGCGTGTTCTCAGCTCACTGCAGCCTCAGCCTCCTGAGCTCAAACAATCCTCTGCCTCAGCCTCCTGAGTTCCTGGGACCACAGGCGCACACTGCTACACCAGGCTGTTTTTTTTTTTGGAGATGGAGTTTTGCTCTTGTTACCCAGGCTGGAGTGCAATGGCAGGATCTCGGCTCACTGCAGCCTCCGCCTCCTGGGTTCAAGCAATTCTCCTGTCTCAGCCTCCCGAGTAGCTGGGACTACAGGCGTGCACCACCATGCCCAGCTAATCTTTGTATTTTTAGTAGAGATGGGGTTTCACCTTGACCAGGATGGTCTCGATCTCTTGACCTCGTGATCCACCCGTCTCGGCCTCCCAAAGTGCTGGGATTATAGGCGTGAGCCATGGCGCCCGGCCCCAGGCTGTTTTTTTTTATTAGTAGTAGTAGCAGTGGAGACAAGTATTCGCTATGTTGTCCAGACTAGTCTCGAACTCCTGGGCTCAAGCGATCCTCCCACCTTGGCCTCCCAAAGTGCTGAGCTTATAGACGTGAGCCACCACACTCCAATTTTAAATCGCTTTCCAGAATATTTGTTTTATAATATTTCAAGAGCGGCCAAAATGCCGGGCACAGTGACTCATGCCTGTAATCCCAGCACTTTGGGAGGCCAAGGCAGGCGGATCACGAGGTCAAGAGATCAACACCAACCTGGCCAACATGGTGAAACCCCGTCTCTACTAAAAATGAAAAATTAGCTGGACGTGGTGGCATGCACCTGTAGTCCCAGCTACTTGGGAGGCTGAGGCAGGAGAATCACTTGAACTCGGGAGGTGGAGGTTGCAGTGAGCTGACATCATGCCACTGCACTCCAGCCTGAGCAACAGAGT